GAATAGATAACAGATAACAGATATTCAATCTGTTATCTGTTTACTTTTTTTAATTTAAATGAAATTTACCCTGGATGTTTGAATTGGTCATATAGTTTTACTCAATTTTTTTACTCAATTTAGTTTTACTGCTGTAAAGCAGAGTAAGTATGTTGCTTACACAGTGTCTTAGTGGTAAATGATAGACAGACACATGTAAATATGAATTTATATGTATAATATCTAAATAACTACCGTATTTTCCGGAGTATGACTTTTTTGCCCTGAAAAACATGCCTCCAAGTGGGGGGGTCGTCTTATACGGCGAGTATATAACAAACTCTATATTTTGAGTGGAAATGTTGGGGGGTCGTCTTATATGCCCAGTCGTCTTATACGCCGGCAAATACGGTACTAGGCTGCGCTTTCCTTTTTGATACGGTTGAAAGATAGTGTTTCTTTTCAGCTCCCCCTACAATTAATTGCCGTTGTCTCATAGGTCATAATTTGAAATTGTCTTCATTAAATTCCATGATGGAAGATCATTTAACCACCTTATAGAGGCAGCATTCATATGTGCTAAGCCATAGATTATTGAACAAGCCATAGAATTCTGGTTAGCACAGAGCCATAAAACAATTTCAAAACTATAATGACTTTGTTTATCCAACATATTGAACAGTAACCAAGGAAAACCTATTTTAACTTGGTGCAATTTATAAAGCCAGTTTTAATCATCTACTTTAAAAATCTAAAATAACGTATTGTAACTTTTCCCATAGGGATTTTAAGTCTTATTTTTCAGTGTAAAATCAAATTATTATGCTCATAGATCAGCATAAGGAAAGTGAGGTGCAGTAATTTAAAAAGCAAACAAACGATACATTAAGAGTAAAAATAAACATCTAACATTTTAAAAAACGAAGATATAAAAGATATATGAATTAAAAAATGAAGTGTATATAAACGATAATATAAAATAAGGTGGAGCATTAGATGGGTGTAGGGAAACATAAAAGGTTAATATGTGGAAGATATATCAAGTTCCAGAGAATTAATATATTGAACTAGGTCAGTGATAGCGAAGGTTTTGGGGTCAGGATGGAAAATGGCTAACTTGACTGGTCATTTTTTATTTTTTAAGGTTTTGGGGTCAGGATGGAAAATGGCTAACTTGACTGGTCATTTTTTATTTTTTAACAAAATCCAGTTCAGTTGTGTGGTGCTATGTATTACATAAAGCAAGGGTGTCAAACTTGCTGCGTCACATGACGTTTCATGATGTTTTCCCCATTCATGGAATTGGAGTGGGCATGGCCTGCGCATGACGCATTTGGCCCACAGGCTGCCAGTTTCACACCCCTGACATAAAGAAATGTCAAATAGTTACAAAAATGAAAGAAACTCCTTTTTTTGGAGGCTCCAAAGGCTATACAAGAACATGGCCATCTCACACAACTTCTGGAGACTATGCAAGAGCACACATATTTCTCATGTAGCCTCCACAGTCTCCAAAATCACACTACAATGGGTGTGCTTTTAAGAATAATTGTTGGGTGTTGATGAATGCTGGTGTGTTGCCCAAAATGTCATGGCATGTCACCTTGTGACACGTGTCATAGGTTCACCATTACTGAACTAGGTGCTCATTCAATCTATAGTATGTTATAGCAGGGTTAGTATCTCAAATCAAACATTTATTGTCAATGCACAACATGTGTACAATGGCATTGAAAATATGAAAATGAAATCTGAAAGTAGAAAGGTTTTGAATGGTTCTGCGCATACTGAGTATTTATGTTCAGTAATAATGGTGAGTAAAGGTGAGATGAGGCTACTATGACTTTCTGTAGTACAGACACTTAGAGAAGCATATGCGGTGAGTCCAGAGTCTCCAGGACATTGGATCTTGGGGTAAGGAATCTTACCTTTAAGGGCAACTGAAGGGTCAGTGTCTATCTCAATTGTTTCATAAGTTTCCATAATAGTTATGAGCAGGCCAAAGAAAATATTTTTCATAAGTTTCCATAATAGTTATGAGCAGGCCAAAAGAAAATATTTTTGAATACTAGGTTGCTGTTTTCTCTGGTTTCCATCCATAAACAACTGTAGTTACACAAAACAAGCCATTAGGAAATTTCAGAGTGGTGGCCAGATGGACCATCAAGGGGTTATTATTTATTTGGAGGCTTGAATCACATTATTTGGAATAATGAACCTTTGTCCTTAATCCTGCTGTCCATCATATTAAAAACACAAAGATACAATGGGGAGGAGGGGTGCTTTTATAAAAAGAGCTGCAAACTACAGAAAGGATCTTGAATGAGCAGTGCTTTCTAGGTTGGACAGGACAAGAAGAAACCTTATTTGCTGTCAGAATTTTTGTCATGGTAAGCCACCTTCAAATTGTCTATTGATTGTAATGATACTACAAAAGATAGAGATGTACACTTTCAAATGATTTCCAAATGGACTAGCTGCTTTAATCAGAAGGCATTTGATAGCACCTTTTCCAACTAAGGGGCTTTATTAAAAGTTAAAAGTGAACCAAGGCTCACTTCTGGTTTTTGACTAATATAGCCTAATACATCTGTCCCATAAGTGTATGCTTAGTTCAGAAGAACTACTATTTTGGAAATTTGTACCAATTTTATTTCTATGTGCTTAATGCAGATGACCGTTGCCCAAAGTAAAGACAGGATTTACACATCAGGCTAAATTGTAATAGGGCATATATTTTGATAGCTTGGTGCATGTGTATATATCCAATGTGATTTGCCAGTTTATTTTTTCAGCTCTGCATATAGATGATTCGTATCACTGTAGTTTATTAAATCACAATGGGTCAAATTGCCTTTGTACAGATCTAACTAGAGATAGTATTGCTTTACTGTGTCTTCCTCTGCTTTATCTCTATCTGAAGAGAGAAGTACATCCATCTTTACAACTTTATAAGATAAGGCAAATTGGCAAGCTACCTGAATCCTTTGGTAGAGATTGTAATGTTAAAATGTTGGAATAAACCAAATTTAACTTTCCATGTTTTCGGCAAGAAAGGGTACCTGTTCTCCAGCATTCCTTTCCTCTCTTCATCTAACTGGGAAATTTCATTTTCTAGTCTCATTTTGAGACATTGTTAGGGAATTACAAAGGCCTTATGCTTTGCAGCCCACTAGTCGGATAAATCTGACCCACAAGTCAGAACATTACATAATTTAATTCATCGCTTCCCGTACCATGCTAAGCCAGTGCACTTTGGGCTTCTTACTTAGCATGACGTGCTAGAACAGAGAAAAGATCATAGTTTGTTTTAGAGCAGGAAACCATCATTTTCTTCCTCATGGCAACCATGATGCTAAAAGCTGCACCAGACTTTTGTACAGAAACTGGTGGCAAGGAGTCTCTTGCATCCAGCTAAATTCTGGGTAACTACACTTGCATGCCTGGGCAACAATGCAGAAGTAGTCTGTCATGGGAGTTTCCTGATGGTCTCGCATCCAACTATCAACCAGATCAACTGCATAGCTTAATTTGAGATTAAAGATATAGGTTTCCTACCAGTTCTGTCCGACTCGAGAGCATGGTGCTCATTTCTGTTTCTTGGCTGAGGGAGCCAGCATTGTCCCAAGTCAATCTCTGTTGTCATGTGGCCAGCATGGCTACATGCCAACAGCACACAGAATGCTCTTACCTTCCCACCAAAGTGTTACCTATTAATCTACTTGAATTTGCATGCTTTCGAACTGCTAGTTGGGCAGGAGCTGGGCACCTCGTTGTGCAGAGCTCAAACCTGGACTGTCAGTTCTTCAGCTAACAAGCTCAACATCTTTAACCTTTGAGTCATCAAATGCTTCCCAGTTTGAGATTAGCCCAAGGTGAATACATGCCTCCACTTGCCATATATGTCAGTAACTTTTAATGCATTTCACAAAAAGATCATTTCCTTCCGTTGTATGTAAGCTTCAGACAAGGGTGAAGCTAGACCAGAGTTTTTGAGCCAAAATGTAAAAATTCCACTCCCAAACAACTATCAAAAAGGTAGTGGAAGCAACAACAATTCCTGGGCCTTGATGGGTTTAGCTGGAATCTTACAGCATTGATGTGCTGATCATATCATAAATAGATAAATCAAACAGTCAGGAGATATGAATACAATCACAGATATCCATTCTATTCTTGAAGTATATTCCAGTTTCTCTAGCAGAATAATGCTTAATGTGAAGTAGCATATATGTGTAGCAACCAAGAACAACCAGTTCCTTTAGAGCACTCCTTGATCTGGCTGTATCTCTGCTCTCAGAATATCGGCAAGTGGATAGAGGTAGCTGGCACTTTCATAGGTGATTTTGTAACAGTGAAATGGTTAAAAGCAGTCTTCACAAATTAATGTAAAAACGGGAGTTGTGAACTTCACGAATTGGATTGCCATTTTGTTTACCTGCAAGAGAGAACAAAAATCACTCCGGGGAAGCTTCTCCCATTAAGAAATGGACAGATTTTTCCCAAAGCAGAGAGAACCTGGTTCACCCATTATTTTAAGCAATGATTTCCCTGTGGAATAAACTACGATCGGCTTGGTTCACAATATGCCAAAATCAAACAAATCCCACTGGAATCCGGGTCTAACGGCAAAGCCAATCAGAAAACGCTGCCTTTTTTTTTTATTCTCAGGGAATTCACCGCATCGTTCAGTGAACGGTGCAGTCGGGCTCCCCATAGGTTTTGGGGCAAAATGTCTCCCGACCGCCATCCAGCGTGTCCCAAAGGTCCCAGGACAATGCAGACGGGAACGGGGCAAGGGGGCTGGGAAATCGGCCTCGGGGGTAAATCGCTCGACAAACGCGCCGGAGACCGACCCCAGGCGCTCGTTTGAAGTCGGTGGGCCGCCTCGCTCCTCCCTGTCCGCGCCTTGCACCAGCTACTCCTCCCTCCCGCCGCCGAAGCCTCAATAAAAAGTCAGCCTCCTCACGGCCACTTGAAGTGTTGCTCAGCCGGAGACAGGAGCCAATCGCAGGCCGGCGAATCAGCGAGCCAGCGTGGAGCCGCAGAAGTCGCTTGACAGTTGCCCGGCTAGCCGGCTGCTCTTAAAGAGTTTGGCGGCGTGGGAGGGCGGAGTGGCCGCCGAGGAGATTGCCCTCTTGAGTAGACCCTTGGCCGGCGCCTTGTAAGTATTCGGCTCCTCCTCCCTCCGAGTATTTCTCCGAGGGGCTTCCTTCGCCTTCTTCCTTGGAAGTCCCGTTGAGAAATGCCAGCACGAAGGAGAGACCATGAGGGGGCTCGAAGGTCGCCCACCTCAGCCGCCCCGCTTGCTCTCCAGTTTGGCAGCCGAAGTCCTCCATTGGTCCACCTCGCCCCTTTTTTTTCTCCACCTTTCTATTTCGCCCTGGCATTGCCACCTCAAGGGGAGAGAGAGCCAGTCGAGATGGGCTAGCATGAGCCTCTCTTGGCCTGACCTTCCCCAGACCGACAGACACAGTTTCCATCATCTTTAGCTGGCACCCTGGCTGAGCTGATGGAAGTGGCCAGGGAAGTCCGGGTTTGAGGGTGGCTGTGTGGAAGCATTTCAGTACTGCAAGGTTTTTTTTTTTGGGTGGGTGGGTGGGTGGGTCAGTCTCAGACAGGGTTAGGGTGAGGTGTCTGGAGTAGCCATAAGTTCCTGTAAGACTTCAATGACCAGATTAACTTGGCTTTCTTCAAAGAGGTCAAACCCTGGCTTTGTAGCCTTGCATAGTTGGCCCCATAAGACTGTATTAACAACTCCAAATCTTCCCATCTTGGAACTTTCCATTTTTTGGTAATTTTATAAAGTTTTACTTTAAAAAAAAAGTAATCCTAAATTGTTTAGTTTTTAATGTTTTATTAATTAAATTGTAATTAAAATATCCAGAGCCACTCTACAAGGGAGATATGTGGTCAAGAAGTTTGATAAATCAAATAAATAAATAAAAGATAAGGTAATTTGTTAAGCCATAATTTAAAAAAAAAGGAACCTGTGAAATGGACTGAAACACATTTAGGGAAAGCAACTGAGTCCTCCACAAGCATTGTATTATCATTTACTATTAACATTATTAGTGGCTAATAATTGCCAGATGAGTCATTTTTAAATAATTATATTGTATACATAAAACATCCCTATGAAAACATATAAATAGCAATAGCCTTATATACCACTTCAAATAAAACATATTGTATAGATCAGGGGTGTCAAACTGGGGGCCTGTGACCTGCATCACACGCAGGTCATGGCCACCCCAGCTCCATGAAGAGAAAAAACATCGTGATATGTCACGTGGTGGCAACGTGAGCCTGTGATTTTGACATCCGTGATATAGATAAAACAAATACAACCGGGTAATAAAAATGCATTTAAAAAAATAAGAATTAAAAAATGTAGAAAAAGAAAAAAAAATAGGAAAAGAAACTTTCCCCCCTTCAGCCCTAGAAAATACAATCAATATTAACAACTTATCGCTATCTCTTAAAAATCCAACCAAGCACCTCTTCATTCCATATCTCCTCCTATTCTCTATAAGCCCGTCTCTAAAATCTCACAGGTGCATATTAAACAGCAAGTCCATTAAGATGATAAAAATAGCATAAACATTACAAATTGTATTTATTACAGCCAATTTAATCCTTCCTTTCTATTTAAACAGATCCTGCTTCCTCTTTTCAAATACTCAACAAACATTACCAGAAATAACCATCATCATCTATCCCAATCATAAAAGCTCTAGACATCACCAGAAATAACAACTCACTATTTTAATCTTATTCTTTCTCCAAATAATCTTTAAATTCCTCAAAGAAAATTCTAACACCTGCTTTCTTATTCTTTGTCTCAGAATTCTTGTCATCTTTGTCAAATCCCTTTTGTAATTCCAGTGCAACACCAGCCAATCCTTTTTGTAAACACTGTGTGTGTGTGTGTGTGTTTTATTCAGTGGAGCTTGTGCCTCTTCAGAAACACCTGATTCTACTGTAAAGTTAAATAGCTCAAAGACTTTCATCAAACATTTATTTTAAGGTAGCCATCTGGTGTCCTCTAGTGTTCAACCTTCAAAGTCATCTTATTACTTTCAAAGTAACAACGAGAAGATTTTCTCTGGAGAAAGGATCCTTTGAATTATCTTCAAAGTCTTAAATCAAATCCACTTGAGCCCTTAATCCATTTAAAACTTTCAAAAGGCAATAATATTCATCTTTTTGCTATAAAAATTATTACAAATTCTTAAACTTGTAGTTGGACATTTTTAAAGGATTGAAGGGGATTTGCCTAGTGATTTCAATAAGATTTGCCAGTCTGAAGGCTCTCAGTTTAAAAAAAAAATCAGCCAAAGGGAAAAAAATCCAGAGTGATTATGAAATGAGCCTTGGTTGAACATAAAGTCCACATAGAAGAATGAAATCTCACAACTCCCAGCCAATCTCACAATGCAGTTCCTGTTGTCTGCTAACAAAAATAAAAAGTTTGCAAAGTACAGGTGAAACTTAAAAAATTAGAATATCATGCAAAAGTTCATTTATTTCAGTAATGCAACTTAAAAGGTGAAACTAATATATGAGATAGACTCATTACATGCAAAGCAAGATAGTTCAAGCCATGATTTGTCATAATTGTGATGATTATGGCTTACAGCTCATGAAAACCCCAAATCCACAATCTCAGAAAATTAGAATATTACATGCAATCAATAAAACAAGGATTGTACATAGAACAATATCGGACCTCTGAAAAGTATAATCATGCATATGTACTCAGTACTTGGTTTGAGCCCCTTTTGCAGGAATTACTGCCTCAATGTGGCGTGGCATGGAAGATATCAGCCTGTGGCACTGCTGAGGTTTTTATGGAAGACCAGGATGCTTCAATAGCGTCCTTCAGCTCTTCTGCATTGTTCGGTCTCATGTCTCTCATCTTTCTCTTGGCAATGCCCCATAGATTCTCTATGGCAGGGATCCCCAACCTTTTCGACGCCGCGGCCCGGTTCCGGCGTCAGCTGGGCGCCGCCATCTTTTTTGACGAAAAATTGCTTTTTTTACCAAAAAAAGATGGCGGCGCCCAGCAACCAGCGGCCCGGTAAGGCTTGTTCCGCGGCCCGGTACCGGTCCGTGGACCGGCGGTTGGGGACCCCTGCTCTATGGGATTCAGGTCAGGCGAGTTTGCTGGCCAATCAAGCACAGGAATGCCATGGTCATCGAACCAGGTTTTGATGTTTTTGGCAGTGTGGGCAGGTGCCAAGTCCTGCTGGAAAATGAAGTCAGCATCCCCATAAAGCTCGTCTGCGGAAGGAAGCATGAAGTGCTCCAAAATCTCCTAGTAGACGGCTTCGTTGACCCTGGACTTAATGAAGCACAGTGGACCAACACCAGCAGATGACATGGCTCCCCAAATCAACACAGACTGGAAACTTCACACTGGACTTCAAGCATCTTGCAGTGTGTGCCTCTCCATTCTTCCTCCAGACTCTGGGTCCTTGGTTTCCAAATGAGATGCAAAAGTTGCTCTCATCAGAAAAGAGGACTTTGGACCACTGAGCAACAGACCAGTTCTGTTTTTCTTTAGCCCAGGTAAGACACTTCTGACATTGTTTGTTATTCAGGAGCAGCTTGACAAGAGGAATACGACATTTGAAGCCCATGTCCAGGATCCATCTGTGTGTGGTAGCTCTTGATGCACTGACTCCAGCCTCAGTCCACTCCTTGTGAAAGTCCCCAACATTTTTGAATGGCCTTTTCCTGACAATCTTCTCCAGGCTGCGGTCATCCCTGCTGCTTGTGCACCTTTTTCTTCCACACTTTTCCCTTCCACATAACTTTCTATTAATGTGCTTTGATACAGCACTTTGGGAACATCCAACTTCTTTTGCAATTACCTTTTGAGGCTTTCCCTCCTTATGGAGGGTGTCAGTGATGGTTTTCTGCACAACTGTCAGGTCAGCAGTCTTTCCCATGATTGTGATTCCTACTGAACCAGACTGAGACACCATTTAAAGGCTCAGGAACCCTTTGCAGGTGTTATGGCTTAATTAGCTGATTACAGTGGGACATTTTGAGCCTAGAATATTGAACCTTTTCACAATATTCTAACTTTCTGAGATTGTGGATTTGGGGTTTTCATGAGCTGTAAGCCATAATCATCTCAATTATGACACATAAAATCTTTATAGTTCCCGCTGCCTTAAGAAAGCTCAAAACATTCTCAAAGATTCTTCTCATCCTGGGAACCCTTTTTTTGAACTATTACCATCTGTCAGACGGTACAGAATAATAAAAACAAGGACAAATAGGCTGAAAAACAGCTTCTATTCCATGGCAGTAACTCTATTGAATTCTGCTTTATAGTGCAGTGTTGGTGTGGTGTCATATCTCCGGTTCAATGTGTGAAGGGTGAAGGATGTGTGTTTGTGTTTATTTTCATGGTCATGGTCATGATGTGCGCTGAAGATGGTGTTTGATTTCGTTGTACAAGGTGCAATGACAATAAAGTAAACTAAATATCACGGCTTGAACTATCTTGCTTTGCATGTAATGAGTCTATCTCATATATTAGGTACACCTTTTAAGCTACATTACTGAAATAAATGAACTTTTGCACGATATTCTAATTTTTCGAGTTTCACCTGTATATATGAGTAAATTTGCAATCTCTCCTTACTTAGAGATTTTGTCAGCCCAAATCCTGCATTCAAGGACTGTTTTTGGCTGCAGTGTGCCAGTTTGCCATAATGAACTGTGCTCTGTGTCACATTAGGTAGGATGAGGTCTCTGAATGCTACTTTCCATTTGTAAACCCCTACCCTTTTCTTGCGATTTCTCATAGCAAGTAGGCTAAAAAGGAGAAGAGACTGTTCAACGTTGTTTGATTGATAATGTGTCTGCCACCTGCAAACACCACAAACCTAAGCCTCAGCTATTATTTTGGGATCCGCATTTTGCATTTATTTGCTAGTTCTCTTTCCAAATAGGTTAAATTGTTGCTGATGTCCTGACCTGCTGTTCACTATGTCACCATTATCTTGGATGGAAGTCAGGACTGGCAGTAATTGCAAACAAAAGTGATAGAGCTGGCATAGCGATCAGCAATGGGTATATGTCATGCCAATGTTATTTTTTGTCAACTCAGGGATAGGGTGGATAACATTTATGGTAGGTAGCAGTTAATGAACCTTAACTGTTGTAAGAGTGTCTCGTTGGGTAGTGTGCATTCATGACTTATGGATCAAAAGCTGACTTGTATAGTTTTGTAATATTATAAGAGACACACACACATACAATATGAATAAGAAAGTAAGTATTTCATCTTCTTCTGCTGGATAAAGAAAATTTATTGCAATTCAGGCCTCTGATCTTTTTTGCCTGTCTGGTTGTATGCCCTCTCCAGTAAGATGGAAATCTTGAACAATTATCCTCAGCTAAACTGGCACTTGGACTGTAATCAAATGTGCTGGCAGCAATATGTGGTAAATTTCTTTGTTAATTGGTCTTGTATTTCCATTTTCATTCTTCTCTCTGCATCTAAAGGATGCTAGGTAATGCACAAACTGATGCTAACTAGATAGTAGTTAGTTTTATTCTGTAATAAGCAGCTTTTTTACAGCTAAATCTGTATATTTCCAGCGATCAAACCTGTATCTGAAGAGTATACAAGGAATTGTAGTTAGGATGGGATCTGTTGTGATGTGAAAACCTTTTTCCAATTTTTGTTTATTTAGATCTATGCCTCAATAAATGTTGAAATAACCCACCCTGGTACACTAGCATGACAGGATCTAGTAGTGAATTCTAGCATATAGACTGATCAGAAAAGCCAAGGGGAGATGATTAAATCTCACCCACTCCAGGGACTTTTAATAATTAATAGTTGGAGAGCAGAACTTTTAACAAGCCCTTTCCATTGATACCAGCCTGCAGGAGCCAGCATGGAAGTGTTGGGCCATGAGGCAATTGCACTGTTCTCCAAGGCTCCTGTGTAAGGGACAGCATAAGGTGGCCTCGTTGAGTGGCAGCAATGAATTAGGACTGAAATCAAGGCCTGGGTCTCTGCATCCAACTGAGGCTCAGTGCTTCCCACTGAATGCCACTGTTTAGAGTGGCCTGGATTATGTGTGTGTGTGTGTGGTGTGTATGTGTGATAGAGCATTATTTCCCTTTTGTTTGGATATGTGCATGTAACCCAACAGCAAAGTCTATTTAGGAATTTTTGACGTACTGAGCCCAAAAGGTTCATCATCAATATTCAACAGGGAAATTCCACAACTGGTGCAACAATACTGTTGCAAGGTGTCATTATGTTTAAATACTATTAAATCTATTTGGTGGTTTGATTTACTTTTTTAAATCCTATTTTATGCAAAAATTTCTTTTTCACTTTCTCAGTCTATTTATTACTTACAAATGATGGGCTTTAAAACACTAAACAATCATTTCATCTTGTATAACTCTGAAGATCTTTTTTTAAGATGCTGAACCTGTCTTTGTAACCTGCAGATATTCTATATCTCCCTTATCATGCTGCCTTTTGGAGTGGCCAATTCCTTATTTTCCAATGCCTTATCCCTGGAGGAACAGCTTTTCAACTACATTGATGAACATCAGGATGAATTTGTTCAGGTAGAAATGCGGTGATTGTGAATTTTGCTAACTAAATGTAACCCAAGTCTGTCTGTCTTAACTTGGAGTTAAGAGTTAATTAGATTAAGGTTATTAGCATACCAAAGGCCACAGATTGCTACCATAATTTGGACTACAGTGGAAAGGGTATTAATATTGATTGGGAGATCAGATTCCTGATGCAGTATCTTCACTATCCGGATCAATAAAGGAATTTCAATGGTTTCATACTTTATCCAAAGGTGTTTCGTTGATTGCTAGTACATTCTACTTTTTGCTTTTTTTATAACAAGCAAAAGGGTAGTATACATATACATTTATTAGATTTATATCCTAAGTTTTTCCCACTGATGATAAGCATGCTAATCTCTTCAAATTGCACCTTCACTATAACAGTGTCATGAGAGTGAGTGGGGTGAGAGACAATGAGTAGCCATCCAGGTGAGGATGGGAGTTTCTTATGGGAGTTTCTCCAACCTTGTTCAAACCCAGTACTCAAAAACTTTAAGCAATTGTAAGAACAATATATAGTAAAGCTCAGAGAAAACTAGAAGCAAGGTAAAAATGACAAATAAAGTCAAAGTAAATCCAGGAGCAGTATTAAACAGGGTGGCAATGTAAAACCATTATAATATCCCGGACAATCAAAAGATCATTGCCTGACCTTAAGAACATTGATCAAGTTTCTCTACAAAGGGCATTGCAAAGTTGAATGCCACATTGAAAAATCACCTCTTGTGGACACTTGCCTCATCTCTTTGCACAATGTAAGCCTTAGGTAGATAAATATGGAAGAAGATATTTTAAAGTCTGCATTTTAAGCTACATCGCTGGTGGGAAAGCAAAGTAATGGCAATCAATAAAAGTGCCAAAACTGACTGTTTTGAAGACTTGACATTTAAGGCCTTTCAACAAACAACCCTCAATAGGTAAGGTATGAGTAACAATTCCAAATGAGCATAAATAGCTGTTCAAGCAAACTGTTTAGAAGCAGATTAGAAAACTAGCTGTAAGCACTGAGGTAATTTGTGCCTTTATTGATCAAGTTGGGTTGAGTGGTATATCACAATTGTCAGTTCAATTATTTTGATCATGGATGGGCAATTTGTAGCCTGTGGGCCATTTATTGTCCCAACAACCCACTGGAGCAAAATAATATGACTAGGGGACATGGTTGGAGATTGTTAAGAGGTAAAATGAGCATTTAAAACTTTGCAAAGGATACATTTAAACCTCTTAAAAGCAAAACTATCCTCCCACACTGAAACATTAAAGGAAACTTCCCCAGCACTTCCTAGATGCAAAACAAATAGACCTGGTCTGAAACATTTTCACTGCTCTTACTCCAAGGATATCATGATGTCTGCTCTCAGAGAGGAAACAAACACTAAGTTCTGCCCACTATTCAGAAAAAGACTATCATGATTACTCAGAGAAACTAACCCATCTTGTTTGGATGGGAGCTCAGTTTATTGGTTCCCAGTCAATCAAATTCTAAGTTATGGCTCAGAACTGAAAGCCTCCCCAATGGTAGAAGAACCAGTCCAAAATACCAGAATATGAGCAGGGAAAATGGGGAGAGGAACCAGGTTTTGTTCAGAATTCTTAGCACATCTTTTATTATTAATATTAGATTCTTCCCAAGCTCTTGGTAGACAATAAAGCATTTCAGAGTTGTGAATAAAGAATCAGAACTAACTTGCTACTTTGATTTTGGCCCTCCAAAGTAAGATAATGGGACTTGTATTATTCATTGTGCTGATGGGCATTTCTGCAAAACCAAGAAAAAAGTTATCTCACAATGCAGAGTGAATGCAATTATCCACTCCAAACAAAATTTTAGGACAAGAAGATTGTGTGGGTGGACATTCTTATTGTTGCTGTTATTCCTCTCTGATTCTTCTTCTTTTTTAAAAAGCAGATTGCATGGTGACAAGTCCCTTAGACATAATTAGAAGGAAATAGAATTTACAAAGATGGATTGCCTATGTAAAGCCTTGCCAAGTGCTGTCATTTTTAATGAGCTTTCCTGGGGAAACTTAATGTATTTCTAAGAGCTGGTGCGTCAGAATGGCTACAACAGTATAATGAGAACTATGAATCAGGAAGGCACTCCTTTGCTATGAACTGTAGGCAAGATACTGTCTCTCAACTCTTCTCCTTCTCAATAGGGAGACTTAACCCACCTATAGACAGGATGAGAGAAGACAACAAAACAGGACTTATGTATTTTAGTTACATTATAGATATTTAAAAATACAAAACATGATGCATAGTATGTTCTAATTAAGCTGTGCATGAGAAAATATACAAAGCTTTTGACAAAATTCCATTAGGGTTACCACATGTCATAGATATTTCATTGATAATGCATAAATGATAGTGTATATATGCAGAAATCCTCATTTTAGATAAGAATTGAATAATATGTTTGATTCACTAGGATAACTAGTATTATTACAGAAGGTACAGTATATATAGCTAGGCAAATGTGACATGGTTGTAGGAAGAAGCAGGTTCTGCAAGAATCTATATCTAGATAAAATGGAACCATAATCCACAGTTTAAACATAGTTCAGATATTTTCCTCTCTTGATCTGATTCACAACAACGAACTTATAGATAACTGTTTGACACTCCTATGATAATATGAGTTTTATCTCTGGCTTTCCTTTCAGAAACTTAAGGAATGGGTGGCTGTAGAGAGTGATTCTCAACAGCCACGTCTAAGAGCAAAAGTCACAGAAATGGTCAAAATAGCTGCAGACAGTCTTGAAGACTTAGGAGCTACTGTGACACTCAATGATACGGGCATTCAACAGGTACTGATCCTTGCTTCCGTCAAAAGAGTACTGTGCACAAATAGAAGGAATGTCTGCTCATGCAATGGAATCAATGTAGACTTATCAAATTTGGGTTACAAAAAATCTAGGGATTCTACACAAATTGCAAGATGGCAGCAAAAAATCTGGTAGAAGAAATGTGATAGCTAGCTAGCTAGATGATACATATATAGATGATAGATAGATGGATAGATAAATGTTACATACTGTACATAGATGATAGACAGCTAGATAGATACATAACTAGATGATAGATAGATACATACATAACTAGCTAGCTAGCTAGTATCTAACAAAAATATTTCAAGTATATATCACCAGGAAGGGAATTGTTGCTTATTACTTTCTTAAGAGACTCACTGAATTATCATTAATTGTGTTGCAATATATTCCTACAGCTGTCTTTTTTTGAATTATTTTTTTTTATTTTATATTTACAGTAATTCCATCTTTCATTTCAACAGTGTGTTGACTGGGTATATATGTCTTGTGCTAACAATTATAATTAATACTTTTCTTACCAATATAACAATGATCACATTTTCATTATAACCATTATTTCTTATATCTATTTTTTTTTAACAATCTTAACTTATTTATCTATATATTCATCTATTCCATTTTAGTTTGTTTTATTTTCCAACCATTGATAAAATAAATCCCATACCATATAATATTCCATTTCTTCTTTTTCTTTAATTGCCAATGTTAATCTATTCATCTCTGCAGATTCAAATATTTTCTCAAATACTTTCCCCTCTGCCGGTATCTTATCACTTTTCCAATTCTGAGCAAATACAATTCTAGCTGCTATTAATACATTAATAATTAAATATGTTTTTTCTTTACTGTAACCTTCAGGTACCATCCCTAATAAAAATATTTCAGGTTTCAAATCTATGTTGCACAGGTCCACCACATATGTTAATCAGTGGCGGGATTCAATTTTTTGTACTACCGGTTCTGTGGGCGTGGCTTGGTGGGCGTGGCAGAGGAAAGATACTGTAAAATCTCCAATCAGAGGTGGTATTTGCTGGTTCTCTGAACTACTTCAAATTTGCGCTACCGGTTCTCCCGAACTGGTCAGAACCTGCTGAATACCACCTCTGATGGTAATATGTTCCAGGTGTTTGATGACACTTCCAGCATTTGGCTGATTTATCTTTGAGCATCTTTGCCAGTTTTGTTGGTGCAAAGTGCCATCTGTAAAACATCTTATACAAATTTCTTTATAGGCTGTCAATATTGTTAATTTATAATTCCTTTCTCATAACTTCTGCCATTTATCTAACTCTATGGTATACCCAAAACTTTTTGCCCATGCCATCATTGTTTCCTTTACTTGTTCTTCTTCTAATTTAACACCTAGTAAATAACAATACAGTTTTTTATCAACTTGTCTGCTGTTCCTGTTAATATTTTATCCAATTCTTTCAACTCCTTATAAATACCTTCAGCTTTAATATCTTTTTTGTATCTTGATTGTATTTGCATATATGAATACCAATGCATTTCAACCCCTTGTTCATTCAGTTCTTGTTTAGTTTTGAGCCTCCCCGCTTTTCATTCAAAATATCCTTATATCTAACAGTAGTTCCCACTTTACAAATATTTGGATGTATAAGTGCTTCCATTGTCAATAACCAGACTGGGATTTTCATGTAATTCATATTCCTACAGCTGTCTGATGGTAAGAATATTCCATTACCTCCAATCATTCTGGCAAACTTGGGAGATGATACACAGAAGCCAACTGTATGTTTTTATGGACATGTGGATGTGATGCCAGCTAAAAGTCAAGATGGATGGAAAACCCATCCTTTCGGTTTAACAGAAATTGATGGTATGTGTGTATTATCCAATTAGTACAATTAAAAAAAAGGGCCATTAAAAAAATTACATTTTTAATAGTTTTGTATGATAAAAATTGCAAAGATAGGTATTATACATAGAGAGAAAGATATGGTCGTATCGATATCAATCTTATTTAAATTAACAGAAAAGAATGTAGACTTTTTAGTAGCAAAATCAATATTGCCATTTTCAAATTATATTTCCTACACAATCTCAGCCTCAACATAATGGGGCAAGAGTTGAGTTGTCATCCCATAGTTAAATAGAAAGGAGAATTTTTAAATTAGTTTTAACTTTATAAAATAATAATCCCTTTCACAACTTACTCCCAAAAATGTCAGGATGCATGCTTCAAATATTGGAATGCTCATTGAGCAGGGCATACTGGCAACTAAAATATGAAAGCTCTACCATGTCACACATATTGTTTTGCTGTCTGAGAATACCTACCTACAATAATATTGATCACTTATCAACATAGAGAAACAAATACAGCCATAGAAAGACATTGAATAAAGAACCAAGTCATTGGAATATCTATAGCTAATCAAGACCTACTGTAATCATTCATAGCCATTCTTTTCAAGAAAATTCATTTAAGTTTGTTAAATGGAAGAAGAAGAATATTCTGTTTAAAAGAGGAATATGATGACTTCTTTTTTTTTTTTGTAAATTTTATTTGAGTTTTCACAAAGAGAAAAAAAAATACAAATAAAACATCTTTTTTGAAAGCAGCATAATCCCAGGTTATATTTCTTCGTACAGACACAAATTCAGGTTCATGCTCATTTTTATATTCTATTCCATATCTTATTACTATTTTACATTTTCTGCATAGCTTCTCCCCTCTTTTAATTTTCTCAATTTTATTTTAATTATCTCATCTCAATTCAAATCATTGTATTTATATTTTTTGTCTGTCCTGTTTCAATTATCTATTATCTTTTCTCATTAAACAAAATTTCTCCTGTAGTTACTGATTGGAGTATGACGCCTTTATATCTTTTCCCTAAAGTTGTAACATTCAATATAATACATAACTTCCATTCGGACTTCCGGTTTGAAGGGCTTCGGCGACAGACAGAAATCCTTGATCATGCGCGGTTCCTGTCTGGGCTCGCCGCTGGAGTGCCCTGAGCCGGCTGGTTTCGGGGCTAAGCCACCCTGTAGAGGTGGTGAAGAGGGGGGAGACTGCCAGCAGGGTTGAGGAGAGCCACATCTCTCCTCCTCAGCTAGCCATTACTCCCTTTCCCAAAGGCGGTTGCAGCGGTGGTCAGAAATGGCCACCACAAAGAAGAACTCGACCGGAAAAGAATGTGCAGGAGGAAGATAAGAAGTGAAAGTTTTGGCTGACTGGGTTAAATTGTAAAAGCAACAACCAAGGTACCCTGGAATTTAAACTTACAAAAAATAACATCGCTCCCAAAAAAGAGTCAGAAGCAGCGAAGGAAAGTGAAAAGGGAAAGGTTTGGCTTTTTTTTTTTTTTTTGCTTCTCTCTCCTTCCCTATACTGACAACTAAGAGACTTAAATAAGAAATCATATTTTGACATCAATAGGCAATTAAGCTGAAAATAAAACAAAATGCCAAAGGGATAATAAAGATTTCTGGACATTAAAAACTTTCTTTTTCATAAGCAGGAAGGGAGAGAAAAAGAATAAGGGCAGGATCTGGAAGAAGGAGGAGACTTCCTGGAATTAAAAAGAATCTAAAGTAAAACTTCAACAAGACTTCTAAAAGATACATTTTAACTGAAACTTTGCAACTAAATAGTAACCCCAGGAAGAGAAAGTGAAAAAAAAAGAGCAAAAAAGAAACAGCTTGCGTGTATTTGGATTATTTGGTGATCTTTGGATTTTTGGTTATTATATTTGAATGACTAAAATCAATCGGGTGGTTGTTTAAAAATTTATACAATGGCACCACTTCTGGACGAATTGAAAATGGAACTTAAAAAGTACGAAGAAGATGCACAAAAAGGGAAGGGTTCTTTTGGCTTTGTCTTTCAATTCTTAGAAATGGAGATTTGGAACTATGAGAAACAACAAGAAAAGACTGCAAAACAAGAAGACTGGGACAAAGAAGAAGCCATCTTTAATGAACAAGTAATTCTATGTGGGGAAGAAAAAGGAAAGGGGGGAAAGAGAATGGAGAATTTAAGACTTAAAAAAACAACCAAAGAAAAGAAAAATAATTCGAAAAATAAGTATAATACTGGAAAGCAACAGAAAAGGGGAATACAGAAGAGAGAAATAGAGGTAGAGAGACAAGGGGGTAAAAAGGGGAGAGACAAGAAGAGAGGGAAGAAGGAAAGGAAAAGAAGTTACAAAGGACCGGAGCAAGATATAGAGAAACAGGACCCATTTAGAGATAATGGGTGAAAATCTAACTGAAAAAGGGATTCTGTAAAGGTACATAAGATTGTATTGTTATATTAGTAATAGAAATAACTTTAGAAAATTGGAAACAACGTATGATTAAAATGAGGGATAAAATAGTGTAATTTGGTGAAATGTTTGTGAATAAAATAAGTGAAATAAAATAAATGAGAAAATTGAATTAGGAAGGAACGGGAACATTTTAATTAGTTAATGTTTTATAAAATATAAGTGAAGAGGGGGGGAATTAACTATGGAAAGCTTATAATTATTCCCATAGAAGTATGATATTTAATTGAAAAGTAATGTTAAAGATGTTAAGACTTTAATGAATATTAATATTAATGATAGAATTGAATTGGAATGGAATGTTTTTTTAATTATATACATTTATATTTTTTTTTCTTTTTTTAAGAATACAGTATGTATTTTAAGAATGTACCAAGCAGAATCCGAAAGGAATATGATGACTTCTTATAAGAAGACTTAACCTACACTTCCCAATATGTTAGGACTGTTGGAGGACTGTACCATTCTCTGTATAGATGTGAGCTTTCCTAAGAATGGAATCTGATCTGAACAGTAATTAGTATCATAACTATAACTATATAATTATTATATTATAACTATAACATAAATTAGATTTATTAATAGGAAATACTTAATGGGGAATAGGCAAGACTTCCCCTTCTGTGATCAGAGCCCCTTCTATGATCAGGGCCATGATGAGGTGAAGGGGCTTGTGTGAGTAAATGAAATTGTGGGCTATGTCGTCGGACATATATATGTCCAAAAGGCTCACCCAAGGTCTGGATACCCCAGACTAATACCAATCACATCTGCCAACCTGCATTGGAACAGCGTGGCAGATTATGGTCTATTCCTTCAACATGTCAATGTAGCCTCAAAAACAGCCCTTATTCCCTGGAGGCTCTACAGTAACTACCTACGGCAATTGAAAAACCTGCCTGAAGGCAGAGGGTGCTAAGAATCGCTGGACTGGACCATATTGATTGGAAACATGCAGAAGAGGCCTTCATCCTGCAGTGGATAGACAATGGCTAGAATGATGATGATGATGAGACATGACTTAGCATCTAGCTAGTAGATCCAACCAGGAGGAAATCCAAAAGCATGTGTTCTATGACTGGGTGCTGGAAGAAAGGCAGAAAGAAGAGACTTCAGTTTAGCAATCACTAGTCAAGGATAGTTAGAATGGCTAAACAAGGAGGGTACACTGAGCTCCCTATCTGTGCTTCACTACTTCTTTATAGTTAAGAGGTTATGAAATACTGAAAATTCAGCAGCTTTGGATTCACAACTCTAGGACCGTTTCCTATTGGCTTATATACCAATCCACAACTGCCATCCCCTTTCAAAGGCTTTTGTGACGACTTCAGAATGAGGGCTTAGAAAGTATATCTGTCAGTGTCTTTTTTGTGGGCAGTATTTCAGTCCCATGGAATGAGTCCTGTGGGACATCTCTGAATCTTTATATTTTATTGTTTCCTCTTTATAGAAGAATTGAAGCTTCCTTGGTTGTTCTCAAGGAACTCTGTAGGCGTTGGCTCACCTATCCTTAAGTCTATTAACAGTTTACGTAGCCACATAACCTCCTGGCATGCTTATGCTGCAGATACCTATTTACCTTGGTGGAAGATTGGACAAAATATTATTATTTGCTTGCCCATTCCACCCTTATATAGGAAGAGCTGTCTGCTTGTAGACTTAAAAATATTCATCTTTTTCTGTTCAATATGCATCACTATAGCCTATCAAATTGGTCTTGCTATTGGCTATAAATCTGAATCTAAGTATGCAGAGCCTTTTAGGCAATTGCCTACCCTCTTGACTCAGATGTAATCTCCTTTGCTTAATATACTCCCATTTTCACACAAAATCTCAACTGCTACAGCGGTGTCTATTTCCCCCCACTGTTTATATGTACAGGTAGTCCTTGAATTATAACAGCAGTTGCAATTAGGAACTTGGTTTCTAAGTAACACAGTCATGATGTTATGTCTCTTATTAATGGAAATTCCAGTGGTCCCGGTTGTTCTAATTAAATGACAACTGTGCAGATTGTTAAGTGAGGACCTTATGTGATTATGATTTCCAATTTCCTGCTGGCTTCCCCATTGACTTTACTTGTTGGAAGCTGGCAGGGTACATTGGAAATTGTCCAGATTTCTGTAATGTGGTTACAGGGATGCTGTGGATGGAATTTTGTGGACCCATTGTAAGTCCTTCTTCTTCACCACTATACTTTGAACAGTTGCTGAACTTGTCATAACTTGAGGACTACCTATACAGGACCTTACCAATTGTAATCTTTTATTTACAGTCTCCTGCAGAGGCTCATTATTTGCAATCTGTTTCAGGAAGTCAATTTCCACAGGCCTACTGGCTTTTTTTGTTTTACTTCTAGATATTTAATAGCAATAGCAAAACACTTAGACTTATATACCACTTCACAGTGCTTTATAACCCTCGCTAAGTGATTTATAGAGTCAGCATATTGCCTCCAACAATCTGGGACCGCAGTGACCTTGGAAGGATGGAAAGTTGAGTCAACTTTGAGCCAGTGAGACTCAAGTTGCCGAACTGCTGGCAGCCAGAAGCAAGCAGAATTAGCACGGACTACTGCATTCTAACCATTGCACCACCATGCTCACTCACTTATTTCAACACTCTAAGGTTGAAGAACAATGGTGGTATGCTACTAGTTTGGCCTGGTTTTGCCGAGCCGGTAGCAGCGATGAGCAGTGAAGACCAAACTCGTTCTTTCCGCCGCTTTGGTGTTGGGCCCACCCACCCGGGCTCCCATACTCACCTTTATCTTCTGCTTTTGAAGCGCAGCTGCTTTGCGCAGCATAGAAAAGTGCTGCGTGGCAGCTGCTGAAGCAACCGGTAGAGTACAGTCTCCTTACAGGAGGTGAGTTGGAACACCTCTGCACCTGCGCAAAGCCCGTGTTTGGCGCATGCTTGCATGCAAAGTGTGCACGCTTGCAAAGCGCACCCACCAAGCCACACCCCCCAAACTAGTGGTAAAAGTTTTTGAATCCCATCACTGTTGAAGAAGTAACTTCCATCCTCTCTTTCTACCTAGATGCCATGCTAGTAGGAGATGCTCCCCCGCTTTGTTTCCCTGATGAGGTTCTTTACAATCTCTGGGCTAGCCTTATCTTGGTAATGGCTTACTAAATTATTTACAGAGGTGAATATGTCTGCCTGTCATACCTAAATCTGAAATAAAGACTGGGATATATAAGCTTTATCTTGCATGAAGGCATGCTTGACAAACATCTGGCTGAGCTTCTCATCCAGTCTCCCGCTGCTTACTTCTGGCCCTAGATGCTCTTCTGAAGTTTGTATCTTTCTGTCCTAGTCCTTCAAATCTGGATGTCTGTTGCATGTATGTTTTCAAAGTTCTCTCTCATGGAGGAATGCAGTCTATATCAAATGAGATCTTGTAACTTTGACCGAAAGGAGGTCTATTTATAGGAAATACATTTTAGGAATAGGCAAGGCCCAGCACTTAGCTAATTGCCTCCCACCTGAAACAAGGTTCAAGAGAAAAAAAATATTTGTTGAGTTCAGATTAACAGTCTCTTAAACAAAGAGCAGAGTTATCAATAGAAGATATTGAGTAAATTATCCACATTCTCTCTATACATACTATCCTTGACTTGCTAAAGTTGCTGAAGAGTTGCCATTGAATTGACGCTTTTGACAAAGACTGTGTATGATATGCAATATTCAGTTAATGCTGGGGGAGAAAATAGCTTTGTACACTTTAGGGAGATAATCATTGCATATTTGAGATTATCTTTGTGCTTTATAGCTGAGACGGGGTGTGGAGATAGTCTTCTTATCAGTGAGGAGAAGTTTTTGCTGTAGATGGAATATCAGAAACTTGTGTCAACATGCTGCTTTTAACAGGATGATGATATGAGGGTTGCACAGCTATGCTGCATGCTGTGCTCCTTTTGTATGTGGATCTGATGTCACATAGGCTTGTATCACAATATGGCTCACTGATTTGAGAGGAAAACTGTTAAGAGAATTACTGAGGCTAACTTTGATACAGGTATGAAGTATTCTTTTTATTTTTCCTACCTTCCATTATGCCCACAATGAAAATAAAAAAATGGAACCTTTTGTAATGATAAATATTATTTTATAGTGACTGAATTTAGAACTGTCTAGGCTTTTACTAGATATAAATCAAAGATTCCGATTAAAGCAGTTTTTCTCATAGAAGAACTATGGCAATCTCAACTGAGACTGAACATAAATATTTTCTTGCAATGAAGCCCTAATATTTTATTGGCTGAAAATATCTTAATGGATTATATCAAGCATGAGCAGTTTGTTCTGGCCTAAGGATATGCATGTCTGAGTGGTATGCTGGGAACTATGCTCTTAAAAATGCATGGGAGCTACACAAAAATAACCTGAATGCATTAAATGTAGAAATATAATTGTGCCTTTAAATTTTTCCCTGTTTGTCATATTACATATTACAATTACCCTTCTATTATTTGAAATCCAGTGCATACAATGTAGTCTGAGCCTTTAAAATGACCAATTTGAATTCATTTCTATTTTAGTATTTAGTATTTATTTGATTTGTCAATCGCTTACAAGATACAGGTATAAGAATAAATATAGTTTTGAATACATGAGATAGATACTTATAAGAAAAATAAAAAACAATAGGACAGGGACGGTAGGCACGATTGGTGCGCTTATGCACGCCCCCTACAGGCTCTTAGGAAGGACGTCAATAGTATACAGTTTGAGGTTAAAGTTTTTGGGGTTTGGGGAAGAAACCACAGAGTCAGGTAGAGTATTCCAAACATTGACCACTCTGTTGCTGAAGTCGTATTTTCTGCAGTCAAGTTTGGTGCGGTTAACCTTGAGTTTGTATCTATTGTGTGCTCTTGTATAGTTACGATTGAAGCTGAAGTATTCATTTACAGGTAGGACATTGCAATGTATGATTTTATATACTATATTTAGATCGGACCAAAGGCAGCGTAGTTCTAGGTTTTCTAGGTCTAGAGTTTCAAGTCTGGTGGCATAAGGTATTCTACAATGAGTGGAGGAGCGGAAAACTCTTCTTGTGAAATATTTCTGGACTTTTTCAATTGTGTTAATATCAGATACGTGATATGGGTTCCAGACTGATGAGCTGTATTCAAGTATAGGTCTAGCAAATGTTTTGTATGCTCTAGTTAGTAGTGTGATATTACCAGAGAAGAAGCTATGTAGGATTAGATTAACAACTCTTAATGCCTTTTATTTTAAATAATTTTAAATAATTTTCTTCTTGACCACATGAAAAATGTACAGTTTAAATATATTTCTCTTATGCATTATACCGGTAGTAAAAAAAAATTGAATCCCACCACTGGACCAAAGACACTGAATGTGCACAGAATCCTGAATCTGTAGGTTTTCACCCTTGTTGCATGTGGTATCATTACATATGATGGAGAGACGAAAAGAGCGAAAGAGCATACTGCTGTGTATGGTGCCATCCATTAACATCATCTCTATTTCAAGAATGTCTGAGGTCTCAAATAGATCCTAAGAGGTTTTTTTTAGAAATGATAGACAGCTGCATTGTAGCATTTCTATTTGGAAGCAGAAATTAGATGAAAGAAACTTTAGGGTAGATGTAAGCTTTGTAACTGGCTGGATCTTCCACTTAGTAATTTTGTGAGAAGGCAAGTCCTCTCTCAGCACCATTTAGTAAGATGTCCCTTCTCAACACTCCAAATCTGCTTCTCAGCTCAAAACAGGTAAGGATATCTAAAAAAGGATGCAGATAATGCATATATCATACTTGGGCAAAGGCAGGCAGGGAGGGAGGGAGAGAGGAGAGGAAGAGGGAGAAGGAAAGAGGGAGGGAGGGAGGGAGAGAGAGAGAGATCTTCTGTTTTTAGCATAATCAAAATTTTCACATTTTAATATCAGTTTCCTTTATCCTAAGGAAATCTGTATGGGCGTGGAGCAAGTGATAACAAAGGACCTGTCTTAGCCTGGATAAATGCTGTGAATGCATTCAAAGCACTAAAAATAGTAAGTAAAAAATGGCCTTGTAGAAAAAGAAGAGTTTTAAATGTTTTTAGCAATATTAAAAAGAGCAATTAGAAAAGGCAGTTTAAATTAGGGAAATATCAAGGAGGAGCGATTCAACACTCACCTAAGAGGCTAAAGGTTTATCTGGTCTGGAATTCTTCATCACATAGGAGCCAGCCATAAGCTTCATGGAACATCATGTGCAAAACAAATGCAATTGTTCTCTTGTGTGCTTTTTCCCAAGTAACTGGTATTTCAAGGACTTATCCTTGGATTCTGAAAGGGCTTTATGGTTAGCCCTTGGTAGCCCATTGTGTCTAGTTACTATTATCATTCTTTAGATTTATTATATCCTGTTGTGGTCTGCCTCCGGCCTGCGGGGGGGAACATGGGCCTGTTCTGGAGTCTGGGGAGGGCTTGGATGAGGGATCTCCATCTAACACAGAGATGGAGCCAGGACCATCTGAGAGTTATGTGCTGACTCTGGACCTCCAGAATCATCAGCAAGGCAGAAGAACAGGGAGAACCTGTTCCCAGTGCGCGCTTGCACAGAGTTGCTAGAAGGCAAGAACAGTTAAGACAAATGGGGTGACTCAGGAGTAAGGCTTGGAGATGATTGGCTCCTCCCATAAGACATAAAGGAGGAGCAAAGGAACATGAGTCTTTGCAGGAAGCAACTTAGTTTGTTCTGGTCAGTTTAAAATCTGAAGCTCTGTGTTGACTTTGTACTCCGTTTGGCCTTGTACAGCTAATTGACAATTTAATCATTGGCAGCATTTCAAGGAAAATAAAGGTGGGTGCTTATCAGCCTTATCCCGAAAGACTGTGGTAGACTTCAGTTGATTATTCATAAACTGTTTGGGACTCATTATGGGCTGTGAATGCTTATAATTCACAGCCGTTGAAATAATTTAAAAAAAGGTTTTTGGGAACAGCATGTGATACTGTCTCAGGAAGCCTTGGTCGGAACATAACCACTCCATTCCAAAAGATTCTGCATGGCTCACAACATACAACTTAAAAACAGAAGCATAATAGCCCAGACAAAAACAGCTATAATGCTTAAAATATGATATTACATGATATGATATGCGGTTTACTAACACATTAACCTCAGGCCTGAGGGCAGAACCAGGTCTTAAGGAGCATTTGAAGAGCAGAAACCCAATGTATGTCTGGGAGATATTGTCCCAGAGAGCAGGGGCTGTGACAGAAGAAGGCTTGCTTCCTTTGTCCCATAAGATGACAGCACTTGAGAGGACCTGCAGCACATCCAGTCTGCCTGAATACACTAGATGGGCAAAGACAATTGGAGATAGGCAGTGCTTCAAATAACTAGCCTCTATGCCATGAAGGCCTTTTTAGATAAAGATGAGCTTAAACTGCACTCAGAAGTCAAGTGTAGCCAATGCAGCTCACCTAGTATGGGGGTGTAATAAAAAGTGCCAGTTACTTCTAAACCAGTGGCCATCAACACATCTGGTGGCAGTGTATTTCATAGTTCAACAATGCATGGGTTAGAAGTGGATTTTCTAATTCACATCTTAGATTCTGGAGGACATACCCAGGCGGGAGAGTCCAAAGATACCTTTCAAAGAAGAGCAGTACATAGGGAGAAAGTCATCATGTAGTCTGGCTCGCCAGTGTTGAATGAAATAGGAAAGGAAGCATCAAGGAATAACTCAGAATGAGACGGTCAATTTCCTACACAGTTAATCAAAAATAGGAGAGAATGAGTTGGGAGTCATTCTTTCAGTATATTGGCAAACTCAAGAGGACCAGATTCTTTTTAAAGCAGATTTTGTAGTGGTCTCATTCATAAATAGTTGATAAGTCAACGAGACCTAGAAACATATGCAGTTGATACAGCAGGTGATCATGCTTACGACAGTAATATTCGAGGCTTCTGATTTCCCTTTCTTTCCTCTGTGATTTATCAGAGAAACTAGTCCACAGAGCACTTCCTTTTAGTCAATTATACTCCATTCAAGCTTTGATCTCTCTAGTTAAAATGGGTAGGAAATCTGCAGCCCTTAAGAACCTAATTTCTAGGGCTGTTTGAATCAGCCAAGAGCTAATTTGTATGTACACTTTTGAATAATGAAATCAATTTGACCCCAAATGTTGGGTTGATCTTAAAATATGCGTGCGCGTGTGTGTGTGTGTTTCTGTGCATACATTCAAGAAAGGTTGATTTCAAAGGCACCTGATTTATTGAGAGAAATCTTGTTTGTTTTTACACCAGAGAACAAAAAATGCTTTATCTCAATGCCACAAAGATCTTTATTGAGGCGAATCACTAAGCTCTTTGTTGAGGCTAATCCGAGCCACATTGCAATGAAGTGAACATCAGATTATACATTATAATTCTGTCTGACATTAAATGGAGAGTTCTTTTTTTTTAATGGTCATTTAAAAGGGATTTTTTTTTTTACCAGGATTTACCAGTAAACTTCAAATTTCTTATTGAAGGCATGGAAGAAGCAGGATCCATTGGACTGGAGAAATTGGTTGAAAAAGAAAATGAAAGATTTTTTTCCAGTGTTGACTATATTGTGATTTCAGATAATGCCTGGCTTTCTAGAAAAAAACCAGCTCTTACATATGGAGCTAGGGGAAATGCCTGCTTCTCAGTGGAGGTAAAAGGGTAAAACAGAATTATTTGTGACTAAAATATTCTTTTACTCTTGGAAAGGTTTTTTTTTTTTTTTTTGAAGCTGATAAGATGCAAATTTTATTATCTCTAGGTTAATTTCCTCAATTTGATGCCCCCAAAATAAATAGGATTGCAATAATTATAATTTCAATTTTTGAGGAGAATTTTGTGATATGTATGGAGAGCAACATATTATGGAAAATTATATAGAATAAGAATGGATATAGTCTGAGCTGTGTTTAGAAAATTGAATTAAGCTCAGGAAATTTTAGGAGCAACCTGAGAACGTCTCAGCTCTCACAAACTTTCAGTCAAATTCAGAGTTGTAACTGAGAGTACAATAGCAATAGCATTTAGACTTATATACCATTTCACAGTGCTTTACAGTCCTCTCTAAGTGGTTTCCAGATTCAGCATATTGCCCTCAACAATTTTGGGTCCTCATTTTACCCACCTCAGAATGATGGAAGGGTGAGTCAACTTTGAGCTGGTCAGGATCGAACTCCTGGCATAGGCAGAGTCAGCCTGCAATACTGAATTCTAACCACTGCGCCACCACAGCTCATGATGAGGGATGACATCCTTCAACACCATGGAGAAAGGATATAAAAATAGTTTACTAATAAGTAACAGATGAACTACAATCCTAAAATCCACCAATCAGATTAGCTGAAAAAGGATGGTTCAATTGAATGGAGGAACCCTAAAACCTGGAAACTGTGAGCATGTACTAAGACGAGTTATTTGTAAACTATACCAGGATCGAGTTTATCAGTATTTCGTAGAAATGTTTATCCCTAATTTTCTTTATTCTTCAGCAACCCAGTTTAGGGGTATGGCTACTGCTTTTTAACTGCAATCATTGTTAGGTAATTGGGAACCAGAAACCCATGCTGACTTACTGCAAAGCTTGAGTTCTACTAATAGAACTTTTTCCCTACTGCTTCCATACAGGACATCTTCACACTCTGCACCTTTTCTGTTTTTCTTCTTAACAAATATAAGATTGCAGGTTTAAGAATTAATCATCAGCTCTTAATCATAAATTTGTATTTCCTTTACTGTTTCTCACATGCTTATTTATCATGCTTGTTTCCTACACTCCATGTAAAGAGATCTGGAGCTTATTGAGCTACCTCATTTTATTTTCAGGCTCTTTTAAGATAGATGAAGTGACTAGCTCAAGATTGCTTTAGAATACCTGACAGAAATTTCAAATTGTGCTTCCTTCAATCAGAATCAATTTCTTTTATGTACCATTCTACACTGGCTACCAAGTAATGGTGGGCAAATGGAATTCTTGAATTGACAGCTACCTGTATTCTCGGCTCATTACAATAGTAGCTTTTAACAGGGATTGTAGCTAGCATCCAATGTATAAACCTGGGCTATTTTCTCATTTTCTGTCCTCACATAAACTATAAGGACCCTACATCCTGGATGGCTTTTCATCAGTTCTGTGGAAAACTGAAATCTATTCTAGTCTGATGTATGTTTCTTTTGCTGAGAATCCTTAAGCAGGGTTTCCATTTCCAAACATTTCTGGATGGATTGTCTCCTTGACTCATGATCACCTTTCACCAGGTGATCTCTTGATCTCTAGGAATATACTCCAGAATAGTGTTTTGATTAGTGCAATAAACATAGATATATGCATGTTTTTTATTTGTATATACTTTATTTACAGACATAAACAATAATTCTGATACATTAAAGACAACAGAAGGTTTGAATATTAGAGGAATTTTTGCTTAATAGACAAAAGCCAAATCTTTTTTTTTTACAATTAATCTTGGTGCAAGCACCCATAAAAAAACAGTACTATAAATTCAAAATTCATTTAAATGTTGATTTTATCTGTATGATGACTTAAAATGTTGTCTTTATTTAATTTAGGTAGAAGGCGGTGAAAAAGATCTTCATTCAGGAAGTGCAGGTGGCATCATCCACGAGCCCATGTCTGATCTGGTAGCTCTACTTGGTAAAAAAAAAGAAAACTATATATTGTTTATATGGAATTGTTAGGTTTTTACTGATGGGAGGGGGGGTGTCTCCCATTTCATAGTACCTTTAGTACCATGAAAACAAAAAAGGGGGGGTTGAAACATGCTTACATGTGTTCTGATAATTTCACAGCATTACTGAGTAGCCTTCTGCAATCCTCCAGAACAGGAGTTTGCAGTCCACAAGTCTTAAATTTGCTGAATTTACAGAAGATTGGCAGGATGAATTGTGATAGTAGCACACAGAAAACTGATGCTATATGAAAACATGAGAAACTTGTAAAAGGCTTCACAATAATGCCAAATGTTGTTGTGGTATTTAAGGAGATCTTAACTGCAAGGCTAAAACATAGAAGTAGAATGTTAATTAGAACATGAGATGAGGCTAAGTGATGTTATATTGACTGGCATAATTTGTATAAAGATTAATCGATACATAGATTTAAATTACACAAAATGTAAATTGGTTTTGTTTAAATCAATTTGTAAAGCAGAAGAAACCTACCAGAATACATTACTTTCTATTTTAAAATGGCCCTCCTTTATTTTCTGTCTGCAGACTCTGCAATCTATATTAACCTAATAATATCTACATTTTTTGGTTTCCTTTCTCCATTAACAGATTAGAGCCAGACAATATTTTAGTTAGATTTCATTAAACTAATATGATAAAATGATTACTACAATTTGTTTTGATTGTTGTTGTTGTTTGGAAAATAGCAGGAGGAAAGTGTGCTGGATTCGTTCACCACCTTGAGTTATTTGTAAAAATCATAAAGATAGGATATAAATAAATAAATCAATAAATTTGGGTTCTATAGACAGTCTCGTGAATTCATCTGGACTTATTTTGATCCCTGGAATATACGATGATGTGGCCCCGTTTACAGAAGAGGAGAAAAAGCAATATGAGTTGATAGAATTTGATGTGGAAGAATATAAATCAAATCTTGGAGTAAAGGAATTCTTTTATAATACCAAGGTATGGTACTTTCAGTAATAAGACATTGTTTCAAAACTCCCCATTCACAGGGCAAGACTATGTGTATCACATTTCCTGTTGTAGATTCTGCCCTTTGTTTTCACAAAGGCAGGGAAAAGAATAGATGCACATCTTTTTATTAACTTTATTAGGAATTGTTCCCTTGGAAGCATTGGGTAGGCAAGGCAGGCAAAGGGGAATAAATAAACAAGAAAGACCCAATAATTCTGTCTTTAAGAAAAGTATGGAGAAAAACAATTTAAAATACATGATAGAAAGAAAATAAGTACTAACAAAAAATTAAGGTCAAATTTGTGGCTGTGCCCCTGTATATTAATGTGTTTTATCAACATAATGCTAGTGTTTCCCTGTTTTTCCCTGTTGAAGCTGTTTAAGTAATTAGTGTTTTTTTTTTAAACCAAGTATTTAGTACCTTGGTAAAAGTGTGGCAATTAATTAGTATTATTAATAGTTAGACAGTTTAATCACAACAAATCTGGTTCTTCATTATTATCATAGATGGTATTTACTAATTTCCATTCTCCTAGTTGTTTGGATAGACAAAAAAGACCAGATCTAGTATCTAGATTCTAGTTCTCTAGTTTTATCCAATATCTGTCTGTTTTATTTCCAAGAATGATTTTATATTTTTCAGTATAAATAGGAAACAAGAGATCTGCACATTTAGTGCTTTCTGTAATTTTGTAAATCAGTTTGCATCACAAAACATAGTAAAAGTTTTAACCCATTATGTTATAAAGGAACAATAAAAACAAGATTCTTACTCATTACAATTATTTACAATCTGCTTCCCAAATATCTGGGTGGAAATTAGGGAAAACATCAAATTATTTCTCTTGTCACACATGAAAATCCTTGTAGCAGGTACTTAAATTAACTTAACAAGTAATTGTTTAGAAACAGCAACTTTCATAATTATTGTAGTCCCACGGAAACATTTTCTTGTCAGCAACTTTCAGGTTGTGAAATTAGCATCTAAATGACTTAGGCACATAATCTAGGTGTGAGGAAGCAGAATCTCAACTATAACCCCACTACAGTCATTAAAAAAATAATTCAAACCTAAGATTTATATTGGATGGCCTTGCTTCAATGCTGAGTGGAAGTACTGTTCATCCATTCATGAATTCTGATTTATTTATTTTATTTATTTATTTATTTGATTTGCCAATTGTTTACAAGATAATAAGTATAAGTGTATACATAGTTGTGAATACATGAAATGGGTACATATAAGAAAAATAAAAGAATAAGAGAAACAATAGGACAGGGACGGTAGGCACGATGGTGCGCTTATGCACGCCCCCTACAGACCTCTTAGGAAAGGGGTGAGGTCAATAGTAGACAGTCTAAGGTTAAAGTTTTTGGGGTTTGGGGAAGAGACTATAGAGTCGGGTAGAGTATTCCAGACATTGACCACTCTATTGCTGAAGT